ACCTGTAAGGAAAGGACGTGCATACGGCACACCTGTAAGGAAAGGACATACATACGGCACACCTGTAAGGAAAGGACATACATACGGCACACCTGTAAGGAAAGGACGTGCATACAGCACACCTGTAAGGAAAGGACATTCATACGGCATACCTGTAAGGATATGCGTCTAAATACCACTAATACAGATGTCTGTAGTGCTTCAAGCCTTAAGGACACCTTGACATATTTCAGAAACCACACTGTGACCACTACAACTTTTAAAGGCAGGTAACAGGTTTATACCTAAAGAAAACGGTTCTGAGGTGTTTTCTCCAGATCTCATTGCTACAAATGCTAGAAGAAAGACTTCAGATGCTAATTCCCAGTCTGTTTCTTCCAAAGGAAAATAACTCAGAACACATGTCTTCAAAGTCAAATACCGAGGCAATGAGCATGCTTATGACTTTAATTAATTATCTGGAAAGGCAGTGGTATGAGATTGGCTTGAAATTGCATTCTAAAAACACAGAATTTAACAAGCATCCTGTGTAACGAGAGCATGCAACGGTCAGCATCAATTCTATCCTGCATGCCAACAGGAAGCTTTTTTTTAAAAATTACTTTCATTATATGCCCTGCCCTCAGCCACCTTTCTCAAGAAATCTCGTACCTCATCGCCTTCCTGGGGTCTCATCAAGGACACCCGGTCATACTGCTTCTTGATCAAAGCCCAGAGCGCATCCAGACGACCCTAAAGAGATATTAGACTTGTAAACTTGGGTAGCTTCATTTTACTAATTAATTAAACAAGTAAATGAATATAAAAACTTAAAGGTTCTTGTGTTAAGAAAATACACAGTTTCTAGAGCATAAAAACGGATGTCTGCTATTTTATGGGCCTTAGTCTTCCTCGGGGAACAGGAGAAACTGTAAGAGCTAAGTCCCCGTTAGGTTTAGTATAGCACACGAGATGCAGGCACATACCTTAATCGGTGTGTACCACTTTGTCTGGGGTGCCTGGTATGTGGGTTTGGGCCGAGGTGGTCTTGATGGGATGGGTATCTCTTCTTCAGGGATCATCACCACAGCATTTTTTGCTTTCTCTAGTCTTGCACCTTCTTCAGTAGATCCTTTATCTCCCCAGCGGACCTTTAAAATGAAGGAGGCACTGCTGTCAATCAAAGTGTCCCAGAGGAACAAGCTTTAATGTGGCTCACAGTCTTCTGATTCACCAATCTGGTGTAAGAAGATAAATTGGTATACTAAATTCAGTTCCTTTCCTTCTGAGTTTTAATGGATTCGTTACCACTCATTATTATTTTCCTGTATGTATGGATATATATGTGCATGTTCAAGTGTATACATATGTGTGTGTCTGCCAGAGGTCAACCTCAAGTGCGCTCCATCCTGTCTCTTACTGGGCTCTGGGCTAGCCCATTAGACTGGGCTGACTAGACAGGACCTTCCTGCTTGCTTCCTCATCTTTTTTATTATAATAATATGACCCTAATGCAAGATAACTCTTCAGAAATATAACATCAGTTAAACTTGGTGCAATGGCCTTTCCACCACTTCAAATAAGGGGACAATTTGTGGTTTACATAGAAAATGCAAGACTATGTGGTTCAATTTCCACCACAAGGGATGTATGGTGGTGATGATAGCATTTATTCAGTGCTCATTCAGTGTCTATTCAATCCATGAAAATGCAAAGAAATAGATATGTTATGTTTCAGGACAGTTTCCCTTCCGGATGATGGAACTGTGGCATCAGTTAAGTCATATGCTCAAAGCCACCACAGGTGTTTACTTGCAAGGGTAAGGATTTGGATGGAAGCAATAAGAGATGAGTAAGTTTTATATGATTTTTGAATTGTATGAATTTATATTACATAAAAATAATTGATCTTTTTAAAAATTATAATTTTATAATATTTAACTGATTTACAAAGTATATATTTCCAGTTACAACATTTTACTTGCCAACGTAGCTTTCTGTCTTTGATCTTTTGCTCATCTGAATACAGTAAGCAAATTTTTAATTGAGAGACATGAATTAGAAAATTCTGTGTGGCGGGGGTAAAACACAGATCATTATGGAATATCACAAATTTTAGGTAATTTCACTCTCTGGGAAGTCTTGCTATTGACCATGTGGATTTGGGTTATTGCTTTTTTTTGACTTTTCAGTCAACAGAAAAGAAGAGGCAAATAGGAGACCAACAATATTTGACTAAGAAGTGGTCTGTGGAGGAGTTTATACAAGCAGGGGCAGTGGGAGAATCCCAGGACATTACTAAAGAGGACAGAGATAACAGGTAGAGTGTATGAAGAAAAATACAGACAAATACCAGACATTCTACTGTGCACTATTAGGTCGTCTTTGGGAGAGAAGTCCAAAGCTACTAACCTGAATTGCTCAGTAAGACGTTCCTCTTCATAGGAGGAACTATGCACAGCTTTTTTGATAAAGCCATTTAGATATTTTCACCTTTACCACCTCTTGTTTACTAGAATTTTAGACTAGTTTTCGATTTCCAATGAATCCTGTTGAGTTATTAAAATACATTTGTATCTCTCAATGTGACCAATGACAAGAATCTTCATTATGAGGTTGTTACATTTGTTTACAACATACTAAACCTTTAGAACTAGATAGTAGAGCTTTCTTGTAGAGCTTTCTAAAAAAAATGAAAGCAAAACCAAAAGAAACTTTTCTCTTTTTTTTTTTTTTCAAAATCAGTCCTTGCCTAGATAAGCAAACACTGGGAATAAAATCTTTGGTCATAATTAATTGAATTTAAAACTCTAAAACCAATATGCATTTCATGCAGCTGTAACTTCACAACTTTACGGAATAAAACAAGACAAACTAAGAGACAGATTGTTTAGTGAATACAACTCAGAGAAACAATCCAGAGTAGAGCAGTAAATAGATAAAATTTAGAGCCATTTAGAAAAAGTGGATTTAACACAAATAGCTCCTTAGCCTTCATAGTTGAAACCATAGACAGCGTAATAATTAGAATCATGTATCACTGGGACCATAAAAAAAGTAAAAGCTGGTTGTACTGGATTTTTCATCCAACATGGCATGCCCAGGGTCTGATGACTAGACACATGGCCCTCAGTAATGGAGGCCTAAAAAGATTTAACAAGTTTGCTGTCTTTGTTTCACCAAAGAGCTTCTGAGTTCTCATCAACCATCACCAAACACAAACCACATTTAATCTCAAGGTCTAAAAACTAGAAGGCACATTGTAGAAGTTTCTTCCAACTCCACAAAGGAATTAGTGTGTGTGTGTGTGTGTGTGTGTGTGTGTGTGTGCATAAATCTTAATGTAGCCTGAAAGGAAGAAAGAAGAAGAAAAATGTCCTGCTAGAGACGGTCTCCGCAGAGTCACTGTCCCTAGCCTCACTTAATTATGAGGGAAACGCATGGGCACAAGTTTCAGAGCTGACTTCTTCCATGCATCCATCGTCCAGAGTAAGATTCATAATCTCCTGAATGCATTTACATACCTAGAGTCTATATCATTAAGGGGTAGTTCCAGAATTTTAAAAAGTCAGCTTCACGAAAAGCTGGCAGAAGCACCCATCTGAAGTTACTAGGAATTGTAGAAAGTAGATCTGTTGGGCTAACAGACATCAAAAAGGTCAGCTCTAGCTTTCCGCAAACTGCAACCCAGAAGGTTTAAATGAGCATTAAAAGGGTGAGATCTGTAGCTTCAGCAACAACAACAACAACAAAGATCAGATCTGACTTACAGAACCTGAGCTCAGAAGCTTTGTTCAGAAGGTCTCAGACCTTCTCGGATGAATGTACTTTCTCCAGCTTATGCGCTCAGCAGGCTTGAATCGGTGTGCTGATAAAAGCATTATGGATTTGATTTTCCTACTCTAATTTTAAATTTGCATTGGATACATTTTAATAATACTTAATTCTCAACTCAGTTTATTGTGTGTATTTATATACTGAATTTCTTCATTGTAAATATTTGTGGGGGTTGCCATTTTTCAGTTCATTTTCATCCATCTTATCAGTGCATCAATAGAACAGTGCAGTAACGTGGTCAACATGTACAAGATTAATGGATATGATCTCAGTGAAAGTTGGCTCGATCTTTTTCAAAAGTTTTCCAAAACTGAAAAGAAAGGGCAGGTGATGCAACTTCACATGCTGGAATTCAAAGACTCTTGAACTTTGAATTACAGGTTACTGGGAAGCGTGCGTGTGCTTTCTTGAGCATAAAGAAATCACTGCAGTTTGGCTATGGAAAGCCCCCTAAGGACACATGTATTAACGTCTTGGTCATCAGTAAAGCTCTGTCGGAAGGTGACAGTACCTATAGGAGGTGTGCTCAGGAGGAAGTTTGTGCCTGAAGGGGGTGATAGCCAGACATTTTTTCTCTTGTTTTGCTTCTTACCTGCCCATGGTAAGCCTGGACACAGGGCTAGAACCAAGAAGGCTTATGAACCCTAGGTTAAAACTCCAAGCCAAAATAAAATTCCTTCTTTGTAAGTTCGTTTATCTGAAGTGTTTGTAACACAAACCTACTAATACAAAAATCACAATCCTTTTGCTCAGGATACATCCACTGGTTCATGTTACTCTTTTTTATACCCAAAAGATGCCCTACCATGCATCAGGGGCACATGCTCCACTGTGTTCATAACAGTCTTGTTTGTGAGAGCCATAAGCTGGAAACAACCCAGATGTCCCAAGTTAGAAGAATGAATACAGAAGCCATTATTAATCAATATATTATGTAGACTGATTAGTTGTTGGTTGTTCTATAACAGTCCTTTGATAAAAGAGATTATTAATAGAGATCTATATTTCTTTAAATAGTGTCTTTATAACTCTCTGAGTTTGGAAGGAGCGACTGTTGGCGCTTCTGCCCTGATTTTACAAAAACTCTGAAAAATTGGCTTTAAAAACACAAGAGGGGGAACTGTACCCCCCCCCCAGAAGGAGTTTCCTGAAATACTCTCCATCATGCCTTGTTCACTTTTAATTCTCTAAAACTGAAAGCTCATGGCAAATCTGCTGCTGACTGCCTCTGGTGTGGGGCAGTGGGCTATGAGAAAGCCAGAAAGCTTGGTAGAAATCTTCGAAGCCCCGGAAACCTCGGCCTGAAAAGGGTCACAGGACAGAAGGTTGCTTCAGATTTCCCACGACGATGGCCCTCTTAGCCTCCGCTTCCCACAAAGAGACCCGTGACCCTTATCACGTAGGATAGCACCTCCATGCAAATAAGGCATCCTCAAACACCCAAGCCAAACCAATAGGGGCTACCTGTTCTTTCCCCGAAACTGTATATATATAATTCCAGAGCTCAAATTAAACTACTACTGCTGTGCGGTGCAAGGTCTCCTGCTGTCGGAGTGTTTTCGTGATCCCTCGCCAGTCGCCAGCTGCGCACTTCAAAGGACAACACTCTCCTCTCTCCTCAGCGGGAAGAGTGAGCTGAACTGAAGGGGCTGAAACACTTTTCTTCCGTGGGCTCTCACGAGCGACTCCTGGAAGAAGAGAACTAAAAGAGCTGACAACACTTTCTCGCTTTTGGAGACTGGGACAGAGGTCCCACTCCAGTTTTCGGGCGACCAGAGGCCGCTGTGGAGCGAGCCCCGCCCCGTCGGCTGCTGAAGGCCCTGGGCCGGCTCGGCTGGCTCCTTCCACGCCCCGAACCCCAGAGTCTGCTCGCCCACCCCTGCTGGCCCGGCTTGGAGCTGACGCCAGCCACCGCCGACCCGGTATCCTGCAGCGGTTCCATCAGCCCACGATCCCTAGGCGCAAGCACTGCACGACACTCTGGCATCACTGAGACCAATAAAAACTATGCCACAGCTATGGGGAAGGACCCTCTTACCTTAAAGGGAATGGCCCAGATCCAGTTCTCATATGGGGCCGAGGATTGATATGCCTGTTTACTACCACAGAAGACACAGCTAAATGGTTGCCAAAAAGATTAATGAAATAAATAGATTCCCCCACAAAGCCAGGCCCAACCATAAATAAGATGAATAACAATTGACATCCAGGGAAGAGAAATCTCCCTGAGAATTCCCTTCTTTATCCTTTCCAGGTAACAATGAATCACCCATGTTGTCTGCTATTAGAAGTTCTAATCCTGATGCTGGCCACCAGACTTATACTATTCAGACCTTTGATGGGCCACTGACAAGAATATCAAACAGCTAGAGATTGACATCACTAATCTGAAGAAATCCCTCATTTCGCTGTCTGAAGTGATCTCCAAAGATTGCAAAGACTTTATTGAACTTGATTTACTCTTTTACAATAGAAAAGACTGTGTACAACCATTAAAGAAGAATGTCACTTTTACATAGACAAGACAGGGATGGTTAAAGAGAGCATGAAAAAGATCAGAGAAGGCCCTGAGAAGAGAGGGGGGGGGCAGAGGACAGTACCAACTTAGATAAGATCAAGTGAATCATAAGCAGAGTCATAGTGACCTGTCCCCTACCTTCCCCCAGCCAATACCCTGTTCTGAGAGGTATCTGTACTCCACCTGAACACCTACACTCCAGTGTCATCCCCTTCCCCACATCCTGCCTTTTTGTGTTTATAACCCCTGTGTGAATACGTAAAAATTACAATTTGATAAAAAAAAAGAATGGAAACAGAAAATGTGGTTCATTTACACAATAGAATACTACTCAGCTACTAAGAATGAGGACATCCTGAGTTTTGCAGGCAAATGGATGGAAGTAGAAAATATCATCTTGAGTGCAGTAACTCAGACCCAAAAGGACACGCATGGTATGTACTCATTAATAAGTGGATATACTTAAGATACAGTTCACAGAACTCAAAAAGGTCAACAAGCCATAAGGCTCAAGTGTGGATGCCTCAGTCACACTTGGGAGGGAGAAGAAAGCTGTCACGAGAGGAGAGGGAGGGATGGATCTGGGTGGGAAAGGGGACAGGGAGGGGAAGAGGGGAACATGATCAGGTATTGGGTGGGGGAAAAGGACTGAAGCCCTGAGGGCCAGCAGAAAGAATGGAAACAGGCAACCTCAGGAGGTAGGAGGTTGGGGGACCGTCCAGAATGTACCAGAGACCTGGGGGGTGAGAGACTCTCAGGACTCAAAGGGAGTGATCATAGATGAAATGTCCTACACTGGGGAGAAGAAACTTGTAGAGCCCACCTCCAGCAGAAAGGGCATCAAGTGAGAGGTGGGGTGGCCATCTCACAGTCAAAACTCTGACCATAATTGTTCCTGTCTGAAAGAACTGCAGGGACAAAAAATGGAGAAGAGCCTGAGGAAAAGGAGATGCAGTGACAGGACCAAAGTGGGATCCAGTTCAAGGGGAGGTCCCAAGGCCTAACACCATTATTAAGGCTACGGAGTGCTCACAAGAAGGGACCTATCATGAGTGCCCTCCAAAAAACCCAACTAACAGCTGAAAGAGTCAGATGCAGATATTTACACCCAACCAATGGATAGAAGCTGCTGACTCCTGTGGTTAAATTAGGGAAAAGCTGAAAGAAGATGAGGAGGAGGGTGACTCTGTAGAAAGACCAGCAGTCACAATTAACCTGGAGTCTCAATTAACCCGAGATCTTTCAGACACTGGACCACCATCCAGGCAGCATACACCTAATGATATGATATGAGGCCCTCAACACATATACAGCAGAGGACTCCTGGGTCTGGGTTCAGTCAGAGAGTATGCGCCTAACCCTCAAGAGACTGGAGGCCCCAGGGAGTACAGAGGTCTGGTGGGATGGGAAGTAGGGGGCGTGGGGACATCCTTGTGAAGACAGGGGTGGGGGGGAGGTATGGGATGGGGAACAATCAGAGGGTGGACAGCGAAGGGAATAAAATTTGGAGTGTAAAAAAATGATTAAATAAAATTAAACAAACAATAGTAAATAAAGGTGTAAGGAGAGGAATAAAAATATAAGAATCCACTTGGGAGGCAGTGGCGGGCGGATTTCTGAGTTTGAGGCCAGCCTGGTCTACAGAGTGAGTTCCAGGACAGCCAGGGCTATACAGAGAAACCCTGTCTCGAAAAACCAAAACAAAAGAATATATATATAAGAATCTCCATCTTTGGACTACTGAACTAACAAAAAATAGTTCAACATAATAAATGACATGAAGTAGAAGTATTAACTGGGATAGTTGGTAATTGGTAAGTCAAAGTTGTTGAAATTTTTAAATGTGCCTCTTCTGTATTTGTGATAAAGTCATATCCATGGTGTTGAATATTTCAAAAATGAATTCCCTCAAATAGTAGGTCTTTTCAAATGTTAGGTCTTTTCAAAGAAGAGCATTGTTACAACTGTACATGACTGACATTTTTATAGCTGATGTTCCATGGGGTATTTTTTTCCAAAGCAGTGAGGAAACCCATAACTATTTTTATCCTTAGCATTCATAAATCTTATCAATGCAGTCCTTTGATTGATGGATCCTGCTGTTCTTCCCCAGCTCTGGACACGGCTAGAATGTTTCCACAGAGAAGAAGTGTGCACAGAGAAGACCCAGTGCTGACTAAAGAGGGATGAAATTATAAAAAGCATGGTGTCTGTGGCTCGAGAATCATACATACATATATATATACTTTAGATCAATGCTTTCTGTTGCTTTAAGAGACCAACCTCCATCCTTTTAATTCCTCCAACTCCTCGACCGCCATAGTAGGAAGCATCCACAGTTGGCCATTTCTTGTTGGGCAAAGGCTCTTCCTCCTCCTCCTATGGAGATACAGTTTTTAAAAGTGGATCTAATTAATTTCTTAAAATGTTGCTTAGTCAGAGGTGGGTTACATTGATATGTTTTAAATTATTCCATTGTTGTGGGAAATGCAAAAATTATACGTGGGATACATGGTGTGTTTATAATCTCACACATCAATTTCAAGTGGTGTTCTACAAGGTATGAGTAGTCTTTCCCTTCATCAGATTCTCCCTACATCATCTCTTTGCTAACAGAAGTTGCCTTTTGAACTATGAGTATTGTGTGTTTAAAGCAAATATGCTCATCCATTCAAACTTAAAAGGATTACTCAACTTGGGGTCATATTTCAATTACCTCATGTTTCTACATATCTGTAAGTTTGAAGTATAAAACTTATAATGGAAAGACAAACATTAAAGGAGCCCTGAAAAAACACAAAACCAAAACATTCCTTCCTTTATGCTGCTAGTATGATGCCAGCTAACAGAGTAATACAATAGCATTTGTCACTCTGAAGAAAGTAAAGGCACCTTTCAACTGCCAGATTGAATATCTTAACAATTTTAGAGAAGTGTCATAAGGACTAGTAATATTTGATTATAAAAACATATTAAATCTTCATGTACTTTCAATCCTGTAACAAATCTGTCTATGTCTATCAATGAAGGGCTCATTCCTCTAGTACATTAAAGAAATCATAAAATAAAAAGTTGCATCTGGTTTTCACAGATTAAAAAGGAGATATTTAGCTGTCACAGAAATAGAAGTGGTCTAATTTTGGAATGCTATTTATATACAAAAATAAATCAACTCCGTATCACTTTACCAGGCACTCGCTTACCTCTTTTGGAGCAGAAGGTGGTGGGGGAGGATCCTTGATAACCTGTCACAGAATAGAACAAGATAAAATGTAAAAGCTTCTATTGCATAAGAAAAAGTAAAAGTGTACAAAACAATGGCTATTGTGGCAACTCCAGAGAGAGGGTTAAGATTTATGACAAAATATAGTCAAATGAAGCTGACATGAGGTTATGAAGTATATATATATATATATATATATATATATATATCCCCTTTATTAATAAGGGAGTACTTTTATCTTTACCAATCTGCATATCCAACATATCCAAAGGAAACACTACTGTCAGCCATTTCACTCAGTAAGATCAAAGCCAACCCAAATTTCTTCCCAATGTTTTGTTCTAGTGTTTACTCTTTCCAGGAGCAGACTACAAATGGCTGAAAAACCTATGATCCCTTTCTTCTTTCTAGTACCTTCTCCAAATCCTTCCCAGGTCCAGCAGATTCTTGGAAATAATTCTCTATTCTCTCTCTGCCATGAACTTCTGTCTTCTCAAAGCAGATAATAATTTCTATGATATTCACACACACCTCTAACTTCTTCCGCAAGATTTATCAGAGTTTTTGATCTTATCTACCTTCAAAGAAAATCCCCTTGCAAGTGTCAATACAAGTTTCACATGTGCTTTTCCCTCTGCATTCCCATGATTTATCAGAGTGGGATTGGTACAAAATATTCATTTAAAGTTTTAAGGCAGAAAGGAAAGGGGGAAGTCAAAAGGAGAGGAAGGTGAAAGGGGTGGAAAGAGGAAAGAAAATGAGGGGGAAAGGGAGGGAAGGAGGGAAGGAAGCAGGAGCAAGGGAGGAAATAGAAGGAAGAAGGGAGGAACTACAGAAAGAGGAAAGATGAAGAAATAAGAAAGGATTCTTTTTTATTCCATTCTCACTGTCAGAACTCAAAATCAAGGACTTAGAATTCCTTGAACTTTAAAGATGTTAAAGACACTTTTCAATTCATGCAAAGTACACACAACCAAAATTTTAATATTCTAAAAATTCCCTACCTAGTCCTTGTTCCAATTATGTTTGGACAGCTGCAATAGAGAAATACACTGCTTCATAAAGCATCATTTGACTGGCAAGAAACTCATCATTTGAAAGTTTTTTCCCTACACAGAGCCAAAACTTCTCTTTCTAACAGTTTCCACACTTCAGTCCTGGTCTTGGAGTCTGGAAAATGTGTGCACACATGTGCACATACACAAACACAAAACACACACACACATAAACACACTTTTTGAAACATACTTTTTCTTCCTGATAGAGAGAAATTCCTGGTTGTAGATGCTAGAATACTTACTGCATTTCTATTGAGTTTATACTTGGGAGCTAAAGACATAACCCATTTTTTAGTAAAATGGTTATGTGTTCCCTGGGTTATTCAGTTCATTTTCTCTAATATATATTCATTAGTCAATATCATAACTACAGTTCCTTAAACTAAAATAACATTTTTAAATTTGGCTCAGCGATTATACTCAATGGTGATTTTGGACAAAGTAGTTGGGGCCTCTTGCTTCCTCATCTCTTCTCAGCATCTTAATTGATGGGTTTCAAAACAAAAAAAAGGAAAAAAAAGAACACACAAGATTGGTAGGGGAAAGTGGTAAGAGAGAGAAGAGAAACTGGAGGGGAGGGGTCAAGGGTGGTAGATTTCATCAAAACATATTGTAAGCATGTATGACAGTCTCAAAAATTAAAAAGCCATAGAAGGAAAATATTAATACTGATAGTCATGCTCTTGGTAGTCTGTCATTAGAATACATTTTCACCAGTGGTTACATGCAATTCTTGTGGTAATAATTAAACAACTAGCTTCTTTCAGTCCCTTTAGAGAGTCTTCATTCTAACTTGTGTAACTAAGCCAATATTCTTCTAACAGAAGCTTAATCAATCATTCTCCCAGTTCCAATGCACACAGTTCAAATGAAAAAAGTATTATATTTTATTAAAAGGCTTTGAAATCTTCATCTCTCTTGGTTTTTACATGTCCTCTGGAGTTCTCACACCAGATAAAGATCAAAATATACCCTTTTCTTCCACTAAGACTGAATATATCTAAGATCACTTTCATTTCATAGTGAAGATTTCAAATGTACTCTTACAGCATGTACCTCTAGCACAGACAAATATAAAATAAGTAGAACCTCCAGCTTGATCACATTGTCCTGAAGATCACTACCCAATCTCATCACTAACTATTCCTTTTTATTTTCTAGATGCTTACTAATAGAGGGGAAAAATAAGTTTCAAATTAAGATCTTTCTATGAGGCTGCAGAAATTGGCTCAGGAGTTAAGAGCAATTACTGCTCTTGCAGAAACCCAGACTCATTTGCCAGAACTCACATGGTGGCTCACCACCACCTAGAACTCATTCCAGGGGAACCAACACCCTCTTTTAATCTCTGTAAACTCCTTTATGCATGTGGCACACATGCATATACTTGAGCACACACACACAAAATAATTTTATATTTTAAAAACATCTATGTAGTCACTTCTATCAAACTTACCCAGGACAAGAGGTACTTCTGTGTGCTTCTGTTTTACTAAAGCTATTACTTTTCGCTATCCATATTATGGAAATACCAAGTCTCTCTAGAATCCATCTCTATGAGACAGCTGTTCTCTTCTCAGAGTTCTAAGGTCTCAGTGTGATGATAGGTCATCAGTCTCCTCAATGCTCTGCCTCAACATTCTCTCTGGATGTACCTTACTCCAACCAGACTGATAATCCCCCTACTCCCTTTGAATATGTGGACCATTAGTGTTTCAGGTCAAGATCAAGTTACAAGTGAAATATTGATGATAATAATATGAAATTATATAGAAAGAGCTCCATCATGGTAAAATAATACCAATTTCAAGGAAATAGTCATCATTTTTTCCTCTGTTAACCAATGAAGCTAGAGAATTAGTGAATTTAATAGGAGTAAGGGATACAAAAGATCATCCCAAATTTTCAACATCTTGGAATAAATTGGATTAAAATTAGGTTCTCTCCAATATAAAAAGGCTTATAAGAAAACAAAAATACATGTATCACAATATTTCTGATAGGTCTCTTGCTTCTATGACTTTCTATAATTATAGATGTATATACATGCACTTTGTATTCATCTCATTCTAGAAAAGATTCTTTCAGAGGTTATTTCTTCAACCAATATGAAAATATTGATGTTTATGACCCATTTTAAATTTAGAGAGATTTTGAAGTCTGAAAGTACATATGAGAAAATGAAGCCCTATGTTCTACTTCAGTCAAGTCTCGGTCTACTGAGTAAAGAATCATAACTTTCATTACAACAAATGGTAGAAAGCTTCAGAACAGGACCCCAAACCCCCATATCTGAGGTTGGACCATGTTCTTCTTATTAACAGTGTCTGCCCCTCACTTGTGTGACATTCTGTCCCCTTTCATGTTCATGAGCCTTTAAGATTACCCTGCTGGTGCCCATTTTAAGCATAGGAATAATGAAAGCTCTAATTCCAACAATCTCCCCCACAAGTATATACAAAGAGAAAAGACAGAATTAAAATTCAAGTCCATCACTTAAAACAATCTACCTGTAAACACTGAGTTTAGTTCCACTACATAAGATACTTTCAAAGTAAAGGTTGGAATACCAAGCAAAAGTCTGTGGTAGACCAGTTGTTTTCCAAGCAGTGTTATTGGGAAATCATACACACTAGAAAATTAGAAAACTACAAGAAATGTGTGCTAGAGATGAGGTTTATACCATTTCGGGGAAGCATTGCACGCCTGCCATTAGACCCAGCATCACGTAGAAGTTTCAGGAGAGGAAATAAACTAGTTCTCTTATTACATTTGAGAATATTCCTCTCCACAAGACCACGTGGCCTCCTAAGCAACAAAACGGAAAGAGAAAGAAAATAATGTGTCTCCAACTGTCCCTAAAGCCAAAAATTGATGAGTCTACATGGAAGCAGTAACCCTGCATGCCAGTAAAATTAGTTTGTGGGGTGAAAAAAAAAACTTAGTGTGGTCCAAAAGCATTAAAAATAACAGTCATGAGAAACTCGTTCTTATATTAAATAGTGCAAGAGCACATCCACTCCAGAGAAGAATGTATTCATGTGTGCCATATTTCATGAGAATGTGCAGGTTTTAAAAGGCATAATATTGCCTAGTTGCCAGGATTTTTTTCCACTTAGCATCCTTCAGCTCTGTATTGAAAATTCTGGAAAACACTTCCACCACTTTATGAACCATATGGAGAGCTTGAGTCTCCTCCAATTTTTTTCCGTTTGTTATTACCATCATCGGGGTGGTGGGGGATTACATCTCATTTACTTAGCTGCTAGGATGAAGATTTCAGTTTGGAGGAGAGCCGATTGCTTAAAAATTAAAAAAAAAAAAGTTAGCTGCTTCAGGCAACAGTCCTTTTGATCGGCTCATTAACACTTTTCAAATGTTCGAGTGATGTGGGCATTCTTTGCGCGGGGAAATGTCAGCACGGGAGCCTGCAGCCAGCTTGATGCAATCATATGTTCTGATACTCAGAAAAAAAATAGTGAAAGAACTGTCAACATTGAACTGCTTTGAATTTTTAAAAAAAGATACAGTATAATGGCTGTAGATGAGTAGTATTTCAGAAGTAATTCTTGCAGTAACTACAAGAAAGCCATATAAGTGCTGTAATCCTGCAGACAATGTGGAAGACCTGTAGTACACACATACACACATACACACACACACGTGTGTGTGTGTGCATATGCACATGTATATGTATATGACAAAACATATAAATCATTTTCTCTTTTCTCCTTGACAACACTATGGCTCAAGGACAGTGCTTTTTTTCTAGAGCACTTAAGCCCTAGGTTCCATTAGATGTATACTTGGAAAATCGTTTTCTGAATCCCTCAGATGAACACTGAAAATAGTCCAGTTATCTTGTCCTTCTTTTCTCTCTCAGCAAATTCACTAGTCTTCAGAGAATCTTACCTTAAACCAAAAAACTAGAAGTCAGAAATCTACACAGTAAATACAATCTACA